AGGATGGGTTACTGTACTTAAATTTGGATTATTTGGGGGCAGGTTAATTTAAATTGATTTGATTAATATAAGGAGGGGTGGATGAGTTTTCCATTTTTCCAATTTCTCTTGAATGAAACTCTGTACACAAATATTGAGGTGGAGGGGAGCATGGGGCAATGAAAGGCTGGAAGGAATTATTTTTGGCATACAAGTTGAGCACAAAGTCAATCTGTTCTGTCTCACCAGGAAATTCATAAAATGAAATTATATTTAAAATTTTCAACCACAATGTTACTTGTATTCTAAAATTTACAACTTTTTCTATCTACAAATTTGTTCAATGAGTGCTCATTCCTGAATAATGAATTGTGATTTTTTTTTCTGGCCATGCCACCTTGGATAAGCTTCTAAAATTCAATTGCCTTGGATGGAGGAAAAGAACATCAGCGGTTTATCAGGGTAAAAAACAATGCAAATATCCAGTTTGTTCTTTTAAAAAAGTTGGCGGATGGCGGTTGGCAGTTTAACAGGGGTCTCCTTAGGCTTTACAATTAGGGAGATTTGTTTGGGAGGAAAAGTTGGCAGTAACAGAGGGTGGCGATTTATCGGGGGGCGGTTTAACGGGGGTTGACTGTACTTGAGTACAGAAGAGCATGCAATTCACGTCAGTTTCCCAAATCAACAAAACGACACAAAATAATTCTGCAGAATTTATTATCCTTCCACTCTTTCAAATCTCTCATCCCAATAATCATGAGGATCTTCACGGAAAAAAAGGCGAGCTGCAGATTGAATCCTTCAAGAACCATAAGCCAGGGGGAGTATTTCTTCCAAGATGAATCTCGACGAATCAACAAAAAATAAAAACTTACTACAAACCTCAACAACCTCAGCTGATAACAAAATAGCAGTTCATCCAGGTCACTGTGAAATACCCCACTACAAACTCTCTAATTCAGTATCATCATCATCCAGGCAAGAAAAAACTCTGCAACGGACCACAGCAACACAAATTCACTAGACGCACGTGCGCCTTGGCAAGAACAACTCTGAAACCCAACAAATGAAAAAATTTTTCCGGAGAAACCAAAAAAAAAACAGGGATTTTCTTGGAGAATTATAAACGGAACAAAATAAAACAGGGGGATTTTCGAAACAAAAAGCCACGTTCCTTCTTCTTCTTGCAATTCTTTTTCTCTTCTCTTCATAATTCAAGAGCGTCTTCGCCTGGTTCCTCCAACTTTCATCTCAATATTTCGTTTCACACGTACGGTGACACGTAGTCATATCCCTTGAGTGCTCCGCCATCGCCTTCCGACACGAACCTCTTCCTTCCACTGCAATTTTCACACACAGACACAAACACACACGAGGTCATCACAAGTAATTAGGTTACACGTCATGGGAACACGATGACCCGACACGCGCGCGAAAACATTTCCGATGACTAGTACCGAGGCCTCATACAGAATATTTTTTGAATTTTCGACAATCTTCGCGTCCAAAATAATTAATCCCCATGATCCCCTTGATTGATGATCCCCTTGATAATTAATCCCCTTGATGATGGCGTGTCAAAATTTGACAAAAATATATAGAGAGAAATCGTCAAAAATCTGCTATAAAAAATTTAGAGCACTCTTTAAAGAGCGTGTCTCAATCCCAGCATTTTTCTGGGGTCAAAAAAACGTTTAAATTTCAAAAAATTTTAGGTTAAAACTCCGTAATTCAAAACAAATTCCAACAAAAATCGAGAAAGGTCATTATAATTATGCCTCTCATTGCTGATAAAATTCGTGAAATTCAGAAAGTTTGGCGCACAAACTCGTCAGGAATATCTAAAAATTAACACTAACCAATTTAAAATTCAAATTTATATGCTGGAAAATAAGAAAAAATAAGTCTTCAAACAAAAAAAATAAAAATACAGATTTCGCTGTACAGGTGGACTCTCTCTACAACAATCTTGTCTAAAGCAATTTTCTAAACACACCGAATTTTTTTGTGGTCCCACAGTTTAACTCTCCATGTTAAAGACGTTCTCCACAAAGAATTCTCCCGGTCCCTTCAGTTTTGTTTTAGAGAGAGAAAATCCACATGTGTTAAGATCTTTCGGTGAGTGACGGGGAGAAATTGAATCTTTCATAATGTAACCTCAAGGGAAATTGCATTCTGCAAAACAAAAATTTGGCAGAACAACACACATACAAAAGGGAATTCCTTCCATTAAGCATTGGATTCAAGAAACTATTAACCTCAAACACTTCCACTCGTCTTTCCTTTTTCACGCAAAAAAATTATAATTATGATCTCTTCACTCAAATACCTAAAAAATTGGCAATTTTGCAACAACAACAAAAACTCACCGAGCAGGAAGCCGAGTCACCACATCCTTCAACACGATCTTCTCCCTATCACACTTGTAGACAATCCGCTCCAAGTACGAGTACGCTGGAGGCACGTCCAAGCAAATGTCTGGCATCTCTTCATAAACTCTGAAGAACCCCTAAAATGCATAAAATTATAAAACGTTCAAGTGTCTTTCGCTTCATTCTGGAAGGAACAATTTTTTTCTTTTTGGCACGCACATTTTTCATCTGCTCCGGCGTGATGACGAGCGCGTCTGCAAAATATTTCAGCAACTTGAGCAGCCTGTCTTCCACCGATTCCGACAAACTCTCCAATGCCATGATCACCGCCTTGCAAAAAACGATTTTAATTCAATAAAATGTAAGCGCAAAAAAATTGAAACCATTCCTTCACTTCCCAAAAAAAGCAAATGGCTCAACAACAAAATAATAGTAATTTCACGGCATTTTAACCTCGAAAAATAAGAAAGCTGGCGCAAACTTTTTGCGCCAAATTCCAACAACTTCAGTGGAAAAACTTCGCATTTCACGACACTAAAAATTGAGGCTTCTTTTTTCGCTTATTCGGAATTTGTCATACCAGGAAAAAAATAATATCCGATTTATGAAGGCTTCGACTTTCGAGTAGGAGAAACAAGCATTTTTGTAATGGCAAAGAAAGAAGAATTACAGGAAATTGCAATTGGTGATATTCCGGGCTTTAAATTGCTTCTGAAATGAGTTCATGAGTTCACAGGATGCTGAACTTGAAGGCAAGGGTTCATTTGCCCAATTATTTTTTCACTTCCTTCCAAAACACATTGTTAAATTATTCATTGCTTTGATATTTTTTTGTCAATAAAATAATTGTCAAAAAGCCCCCAGAAAATTCAAGTTATGAAGGTTTGAGGGGGAAAGCCTTTGAGTCACGGAGGATTTTCAATGCATTGTTTCCAAGAAAATTCAAGCCATTACTTAAAAAATCGGTACTTTCCTGTTATCTCTGTACCTTCCCTCTGACCAATTTAACCTGACCTAACCTAACTTCAACTAACCACCTCCCAAAATCAGTTTCAGCAGAAACCCAAAGAAAGCAGAAACTGATTTTGGGAGGCGGTTAGGTCAGGTTATGTTAATTAAAAGATATTTGTAACTAACATAACCTGACCTAACCTAGCTGCCTTCCAAAATCAGTTTCAGCAGAATGCGGAAAAATAAAATTCACAGTTTCTGGTAGGTCGTCGTGATTATGAACTTGTCCTAAAGATTTTTCTGGATGGTAGTGCGGTCTAGGAATGAGGTACAGAGATAACAGGAAAATACCAAAAAATCATCTACACTCGAAAAACTTAATTTCTCCATCAAAAACTGACCTCGTAGACAACTTCGTGATGAAAATGCGGGACTTCAAGCTCAGTCAGGCAACGATGAGCCTCGTGCACATCTCCAGAATCCAAATACTCCTTCAGGAACATGATGATTTCTCGGGACAAGGACTTGGTCGGCCTCGTCGCCCCGCCTTGGCCCCAAATGGTGTCCAGTCGGGCCAGCCCGTGCTTCATGCTCAGCAACGTGTTGGCCGTGTTCAGGGTATTCCTGGATCACAACAGGCAAATTCTTTCAACACCAATTTTCTCAAACCACGAAAAAATCAACGAGGTCTGGCTACCTGCAAAGATTTATCGCCCCGAAATATAAAAAAAAAACGTGAATGGCATACAGAAAAATAAAAAAATAAAAAATCTTCAAAAATAGCAGAAATTTACCTGGCATGTTCACACTCCACTTTGCCCTTGTAATCATTGAGATATGCAGGAGGAAGGCAGTCATCTGCAATGGCTCGTGCCAAAAACTTCCCAAGCACTTTCGAACCATCTGGGGTGTCCAAAACCAGGTCCGGGAGGTTCTCCAACAATTCATCGAACCCTGAAAAACGGTATCAATCCTTGCTTCAAGACAAAAACGCCTTTCGAAGAGCAAAAAAAGAAATTATTCTTCGTTTGAAAAATTATTATTCAACTGACGCTCTTTTTTACATAATTAAAGAGAATATTTTTACCCTTGGCGTAATCCCGTTGGAAGCAGAGCACGTGATAAGCTTCCGCGAGAAAAACGGACGCCAGCTCTCTGTGACTAGCCTTATGCTCCATTGCAATCTCAATGATCAATGAGACCACCTGGAAATAAAAATCAAAATATCCATAATCAATGTTTTATCACTCTCCAATTCATATAACGCCTCTATAGAGTGTTTCCAATGATGTTCAAAAATTAATAAAGTAATAGCACTAAACAATTGGATGTGCAAGCTTAATGTGTGTGAAATTGGACGGGATTGTTATTCAGTACTCCCAGGTGCTTCAGTTAATGGACTTAACCATTTTAGTGAAAAATGTTTCATTCAAAAAGTTCATTAACCAAATCAAGCAATATAGAATGGTCAACTAGAAAACCACAATAAGCCAACCCTCTTCAAGTCAAATAGTACTCACACGTGCCTCAGTTATTCAAAAAGTTCTTTAAATGAATCAAGCAATACACAATGGTCACCTGAGTGATGTCAGAACCACAATAACTCAAACCTTTTCAAGTCAAATACATCCCTACATCAATAATATCAACATTTGACTCAATTAATGGACCTAATCAATTTTAATGAAAAATCTTTCAAGGAGAAGTCCATTATCCAAATCAAGCAATATGAAATGGTCAAGTGAGTGATGTCAAAACCACAATAGATTAAACTTCTCCAAGTCAAATACTTCTTCTGTCAAATAATATTCACAAGTGCCTCAGTTAGTGAACTTACTCAATTTCACTGAAAAGTCTTTCATTCAAGAAGTCCATTAACCAAATCAAGCAATATAGACTCTTGAACTATTGAAAACTAACACCTTTTGACATCAAATGCCTCCCTATGTCAATTTTAATTTGAATCCCTGTCTGAATTTCCTTGGAAAAATGCAGTAATAATCCTCAATAACTCAAAGGTTTTCCTACTCAAACCTCCACAACTCAAAATTTCTGGAGGCCTTTTTGCAAATATTTTATTGACACAGGGAAAAGAAAAACAAGAAAAATGCAATTGTTTCCCAACCTCAAATTATTTTTTGCTGGTCCCTTGAAGTTCCAATTAATGCACGGAATGGCTAATTCAATCCAAATTTACCAAAAATATCACGATCAAAACGGACCATCACTTTGAATAAATCAGTCCTCGATCCGAGGCGTAAATTAGTGTCAATCTCTGCTAAGTGTTCAAAAATCCATTATGCGAAACGTCCATTACCTGATGTAACCCTCTTTCTCCGATTTGTGAATTAAGAAAAACATGGATACTCACAGAATGTCGATTCCCAGCTATGTTGCCCTCCAACAACGACGAAATGGCGTCGTCTGTATCGGAGTTCAGAAAATACTCCTGGAAAATAGGCGCAGCGAACGCCTACAAAAACAAAATATCCGGAATCAAATCTTTCAACAACAAAGGGCTGTGTTGAAGATATTGAAACTAACCCGAAACTCCTCCACACTCAACACCGGCATCAAAGTCGTCACTTTCACATTCCCGTCCATGTCCAAAGAATCAGAGTCGTAATTCGGGTCTCTCTCATCCACCTCCTCAGTTTCCGCGAGTTCAGACAAACCTGGTCGACCCCAAACTCCTTTTCCTCCAGCTCCACCTTAGATAACAGACCACATCTTCACTGCGTGGTGCAAAAAATCGAGTGCTCTTTTCCGAGAATGCGCGCAGGACATCACAACGATTTCACCATGGTCACTCGATTCCGAGGCTTCACTTATCACCGCAAAACCTCACCTTTCTTCGGGAGTCCACGTCCGTAGATATTCCTGGAACGACGGGAATTTTTCCCATACTTCAGCTCGAGCTTCGGGGCAGGAACATTCGCAGTTTCTGCCACGTCTCCGCCGGATCCGCATCTCGGCCTTCTCGTGTGTCTTTTGATTTTACGATCAGGATGAGCTTCAACGGAGGATACTTCAGTGCCAGCTTCGAGCTCAGCCATGAGCTGTTCCTCCGTCTTGCTCACATCCGCCTCCGACATCGCGTGATCCACCCAAAACAACACTTTTCTGCTCATACGAAAATCATTTGCCACACGTTCCCGACTCAAACGTGATTAAGGATGAACAAACAAAAAAAGCACGGTATATATTTTGTGACTCGACGATGAGAACCAAAAGTTGCGGTTACGACTGCGATTAAGGAACACCCGACATAAAATCACTGGTAACAATTCAAGAGATGCAACAAGGGCGCGGGTCGTCGACCAATTCGTCCGACTGATGAGAGCCTTCGTCGTGGGTAAGCATGGAAAATCCATCTTCGAATTCGTAATCGTCGAGAGAAGTATTCAAGGCATCGATTATGTCTTCCGGCATCTGTATAGAAAATGAGAGGACCATGAAGTATGAGCAGGCGATGATTGAAGCTCAAGATTTCTTCGCTTATAAATTTCAAATAGGTCAATCCTAACGTTTACATCCACCTACAATTGAGTAAACTTCCCCAAGTCCTATTCTGCATTTCGTAATTATTCTGCGAGCGATAGATATTCGCAATTACATTACAAACCACGTCAGATTCTTCTCTCGGGTCGTCATAGTTAGGGTCGTCCACGTCGATCTCAATCGCGTCATTGAGCAATTCGGCCCATCCTGGTCGACCCCAAACACCTTTGCCTCCAGCTCCACCTTCAAGAAACATGGTTGTCATAGAGAAATCTCTCGAACAATTCGAAATAACGCAAACCTTTCTTTGGTAATCCACGGCCGTAACACGAGCGCGATTGTCGCGAATTCTTGTTTTCCTTGAGCTCTTTCTTCGACCGATCACTCTTCAATTTACGATTGCGCTTTCGCAAGTCAGTGACGAAATCAGATTCCACGATATCCGACATCTCTGCCGTTTTGATTCACTTCGCAATTACGAGTTTTATGATAAGAACTATACACTGTATAAGAATCCGTGATGGGAAGAACAGATGGATATCGTCGCAGTAAGTTCGCAGTTAGATACGCGCACATCGCAAAATGGACAACGTTCACCATGCACACATGTCGTGCAATAAATTCAATAAGCCATATCTTGCTATTTAACCGCACACACACTGGCTCATATACAGTAAACACAAACAGCTGATGAAGGAGACAGGTTATGCGCAAATACTTCGCCACGTTGGATAAGGGGAAAAGCGTGGACTTGATTTTCCCAAGACCACGATTATGAACATTACTTTTAAAATGATAATTCAGGAAAACATGGACCTTTACAGTGCTTTTTCATATTCCTGGAAAAATCTCCAGAGTGGATCTCGTGCAGACTCATTACCGAGAAAAGAGTCTGGCTAACCACTAAAAGCTATTGAAAGGTTGACAATTACATCTCTGGATTGGAGACAGTGTGTTTTCATGTCTTTGTTGAACTTCTTGTTTTAGTCTGCTTATTCAACCAATTAATTAACTACATGACTTCTGATACATATTGGTTTTTGTGACCAAATCAATGGGTAGGAGTTTCTTGAAGGAGCATCATAAGTTAAAAAGCTACCATAAGATATGGCAATGAAGAGGAAGTTTGATGTTCTGATGGAGGACCAAGACTGCAGCAGAAAAGCCCTGGATGATGACTGTTGTGGTGTATGTCCTCCATGCAGCTGTTGCCCAAATGTGACATGTTGTTGCCCACCTTGCTGTCCAGTACCCAATTGCTGTCCATGCCCCACACCCAAGCCATGTTGCATCTATCCTCCATGTGACCCAAAGCCCCCAGAATGCCCTGGCACATGCCCTACCCCAGTAGCCTGTCCTTGCAAGGGGTGTGTCTACCCTGACCCACCACCACCTTGTCCTGCACCCACTCCTCCAGTCTGTCCAATCCCACCATGTGGATGCATTCCTTATATTAAACCAAGACCCTGCTGCTGCATGCCACCATGTTGCATCCCAGAGCCATGTGCACCACCCAGGCCACCAGCATTGTGCAAACCTCCTAAATATTGTGATGACCTTGAGCCAGATGCACAAGTTGAATCTAAACTATTTGATTGTGAAAGCTTGGTGAGTGTTGATTTATGAATTTATGGTTAAGTTTGATAAGCAATCTTTTTTTCCTGCCAGACAAACCAGAAAAGTGAGATCCTTGTCAAGTCACCATCAGGTTGCCAAATGCAGCAGCAGTGCTTTGATGCTTCCTGTCCACAAGTTTTGTCTTCGGCAACTTGCAGAATCCCATCCTGTGGCAACATGCAGCCATCTTGCTGTGATGCAGAATTTGGCTACATAGGCAGCTCAATGAACAGGGAGCACCATTGAAAAAAAATGCAAATTTAATGTGTTCAATACTGCCTCTTTTAACAAGCAATTTTGCTTTTTGTTTGTTTTTTACCCTTATATAGGCCATTATTTATACTCTACATGGTTGTTTTTTGTGACGTTTCTAAATTGCTTCTGGAATCTTCAAATTTACTCCAAAGATGAATGGCTCTTTTGGATGAGAATACAAGACGTTACTAAATTTATGCAGTGGCCACTTTTATTGCTGAATCATTAATTATTACACACACTAATTAAACTGGTGGGTGCATGGAATTAATTTTTGCATCCAGCATTAAATAGCAGGAGTCTTTATAAAATACCAGTATTTACGGACAAAAAATTGAATTTTACATGAACAAAATAACGCATCTGAAGAAAAACGTGAAAATATGCAGGAAGAAAAATAACAATTGTCAAAAAAATTTAGACCACAAAATATAAATGAGAGCTACGCATTTAAAAGTTTCTAGGTTCCTTATGTAAAAAAAAATTATTGGCTAACAACTTGATTAACAAAAATGCAGGATTTAATTTATTTTATTCTTCTGAAAGCATATAGACTGAAAATTTTGACATACTTCCTCCTCACCTGGTAACAAAAGCAGGTCAAATACACAAACAAGAATCAAGATGAAAGTACTGCTGAAATAAGAGAAAAGCTATTTACAGTACAGTACTTGCAAACACTTTGTGTCAGTTACAGTGGAAATTTCTGTGGAAAGCAGATGTGTTGTACTTTCTTCATTACTGATGTATATGTTTTGATTGGTCTTCTAAATATAATCACAAGATTTAAAAAAATTTGGAAAAATTGCTGAAATCATTTGCCATGTTCCTGTTGGTGCAGGTTGAGATTCTTGCAGTCATGACAAGTAATATTTCAGTGCTTGGTCCAGGTGAGATCATTGAGATAATGCATTGAAATTTCAAAATTACATGTTGATTGTAAAAGAATGTACAACTTAATGCAGACGTTAGTTCAAGAGGTAGAATTTTTCTGCTTGAAAGCTTACCTATGAACAAACATTTAATCACAGTCTATACACCTTAAAATATCAGAAAAATGAAACAAGTACACTGTTCTTTCCTGATTCTCCTTTAAATAAATAATCATTTTCAGAACTAGAGTACACCTCTTTTAAATTAGGGTATTCCAGGGGTTTTTTGAGCTGCGAGTGGAGCATTTCAATTAATGTCAGATTCAGAAAAATTATACAGTATTTATTTGTAAACAACACAAAATATACATCTTGAAACCGTGACAAAATTTAACCATCTCATTGCAGAAATGGAAATTTCAATTGAACATATCTGGTGAATTAACTATAGTTTTATTTGTAAAAAGCATGATGTGAATAAGACATAATATGCTATGGATAAATGGAGCACAAAAAGCATCTAAGAAAAATTATTGTTCTATATACAGTATAAACCTGTTCTTGTAGATATTTTTGGCAGTAATTCATATGGTGACCATAAATTTGAGAGAAGTACAGTACTATAAAAGTTTTGATTGCACAATCATATACTGATTGTATAGTAAAGTTGAATATTCTGTTTTCAGTTCAAGGTTATCCACAGACACAGGCAAATCTTTTTCTAATTTTTTCAGTATTTAGATAATGAGTCAATCTCCTAACATTTCATCCTTTTTTCTATATTACAATTCAATGACTGAATTTCTATTGATGATAGAATTGAACTTTACTGAAGCTGATCAGGGACAACTGGAAACTTTTCTGGACAGAACCATTACTGCAGAAGATCAGGAGGCAGCTTTCATGGTGTCTGTGTTTGCAATGTTTTCAACTGGCAACCTGGCTTTTGTTTATGCTGGCTGTCTTCTGTCATCAAGGTATTAAATTAAAAGCATTTTTCATTACCTTTACAATAAATAATTTTGACTTGAAAATAACCCAGATTTAAATTACTTTATTTCTATCAAGCAGTGAATGTTGAGCAAAAGCGAAAGTGAGGCCTTTTTTGACTGAGAATACAAATTACTACTGATCTTGACCTTCATTGTTTGACTTGTTCCTTGAGCTTTTCAATGCCCATGTCAATATTGCCTCAGGGTTAAAAAAATAAAAATAAAAAACGCATTTCTTATTCAGATGCAGTACATGAAATATTTCAACTTTTGTGCTATCATGAAACATCAATCATGTGTCTACCCAAAAAAGACAAATGCATTAAAAATTAATCAACTTGAAATTACTCAAGCTGTTTTCCATCCAGTAATTAAAAAAAAATCTGGGATAAAATCAAATGCAGCATATTTAAAAAACCAAGTTATTCAATGAAAACTAAATGAATTATTCTGGATCTGGAAAAAGAAGTTGAAATTGTATTCAGAACATTTTGTAGCAAATAGTTTATACATATAGTCCTCATTTGGGAATTTATTCATCAGAATTGTGCTGACCTATTCTCAATGGCTGACTGAAAGCAATTATGGATCATCAAGCACTTTCAATGGTGCCCTTATCAAAGCTGGGTTACAATCAAGTGCAAGTTCAGGAGACAAACAAGAGCGAACTGGCAACCTGGCTTTTGTTTATGCTGGCTGTCTTCTGTCATCAAGGTATTAAATTAAAAGCATTTTTCATTACCTTTACAATAAATAATTTTGACTTGAAAATAACCCAGATTTAAATTACTTTACTTCTAGCAAGCAGTGAATGTTGAGCAAAAGCGAAAGTGAGGCCTTTTTTGACTGAGGATACAAATTACTACTGATCTTGACCTTCATTGTTTGACTTGTTCCTTGAGCTTTCCAATGCCCATGTTAATATTGCCTCAGGGTAAAAAAAAAAAAAACATATTTCTTATTCAGATGCAGTACATGAAATATTTCAACTTTTGTGCTATCATGAAACATCAATCATGTGTCTACCCAAAAAAGACAAATGCATTAAAAATTAATCAACTTGCAATTACTCAAGCTGTTTTCCATCCAGTAATTAAAAAAAATCTGGGATAAAATCAAATGCAGCATGTTTAAAACACCAAGTTATTCAATGAAAACTAAATGAATTCTGGATCTGAAAAAAAAGTTGAAATTGTATTCAGAACATTTTGTAGCAAATAGTTTATACATATAGTCATCAATTGGGAATTTATTATTCAGAATTGTGCTGACCTATTCTCAATGGCTGACTGAAAGCAATTATGGATCATCAAGCACTTTCAATGGTGCCCTTATCAAAGCTGGGTTACAATCAAGTGCAAGTTCAGGAGACAAACAAGAGCGCTCTGCTCCAAAAATTGGCATCAGTCTTTTCCAGGGCAAAGTCACAGAAAAGGAAACTGATGTCAACACATTCTTCAGAAATAATCTGGCTTTAGTCACTGTCTCAGATGCTTTCATCATTGGAACAACTGTGAGGACCATAAGAGTGTCTACAGGAATTGGTCCTGATTTTGCAGGCCAGGATATTTTTGGCTTGTTCACTACCACCACAACAGAAGATGAAGGCAAGAGTTTAATATTCTATATTCATATTTTGGATTGTATTAGCATTGAATCAGATTGTAAAAGTGTAGCAACTATGACCTGGAAAGTGCCTTTTTCAAATTGATCCTATATTTGTCAATATTCTGATAATGGAACTTTCAGCATGAATGCAGGAATGTGGTTATAGTGAAAGTCATGATAGCTATTATTATGTTTGCAGAAGGAGTTTAAAGATACAATTCAATAGAACTTCACAAAATTTTGGTTTTTGGCAAAGACAAATTATGTGCAACTCTGCTGGGAGACTATAAGAAAATTTTTTCTCTGAAGAAGTTAATCTCTAATGTCACAAAATCCTCCATATTTTCAGGAATTCAATTATGAAAGAGACTCTTAAGAACAAATTTGTGATGATCTCTGATGATAGAAGTTCATTATCAGCTGCAGAAAAGTATTGTAATTTTCATTTTCCATTTTTTTACATATAGGTCCTCCTGTGCTGCATAAAGTGAATGCCACTGTCCATGGATCCAAGTGTCCATCATCAATCCAGAATTATGGAGGTACATTGAACACATCTTTAGCTTCATGCATTTCAGTGACTTCAAACAGTGATTCCTGCATCCAGGTAATGTGAGCAATGTATATACTCAGAATGTTCCTGGAAAAAGTAATCATGCATTTTTTTTTTCAGCCTCAACCTGGTTCTGCAGTTGTGATCCTTGGTGCAGATGGCTTTTTGTACTTGGCTGGACTGACAAGAATCAGTCAGTGTGAAAATGCTACAACTTCAACAATTTTCTCTGCATCAATTACTGAACACTTGCCCATAATTTGTTCTGCAATAGATGTTGTCTGTGCTGGGGATTCAAAACATACAACAGCAAAAGCCACAATAAACCAAGTAGGTAATATTAGCACTGAAGTGCCAACATCTACCATTGGTACATCCAGCATTCCAAGGGATAACACTGCTATTGCAATTGTCCCTGTTCAATTGATTCACAAGAAAAATCCTTCATTCAAAAAAATTAGACACTTTTTTGCCATGATTATGAATCATATTGTGGCATTTGGCAGATATCTATTCAGTTTCAGAAAGCTCACAGTGTGAAGTATGTGGAGGATTATATGGTCAAGTTCCACTTATGCTGCACTTACATGATTTATTCATGGTGATGGGATATGGAGGTAAATAAAAGCAGTTCTCCAGAGGAAAATATGTTTCTCTTTTTCTGAACTTATACTAAAATGAATTTGATCTTCCAAATTGTTTAATTAATAGTTTAATCTACATCATAGTCAAACAAACAGAAAATTTGAGCAGTCAAAGAAATGATCTGCTGGCCTGACTTTTTCCATGTCATATTTTGACAGATGAATTCAAAGCCAAAAAATGGTTCAAGTTGAAAATCAAAAGCTAAAGTTCAAGTGAAAATTTGAAAATAAATCAAATCTCAAAGGATTATTTCTCATGCATCAACCAGAAATGGCTTTTCACAAAAAATGGATTTTAAGAGTCTTATATGTTAGCTGATTCCATATACAGAACAGTATTTGTCAAACACATGCCAAGGTATTCCAAATTTAGGTAAACCAGAATAACTCAAATTTATCAAGAGCATTATTCCACAAGATCTTTCTAAAAATTTAAAGATAAAAAACACATGCAGTAACTTCTTGTAGTTTATTCAAAATAAATTTTGGAGCATATACAAAAAAGTGACAAGAAAATGCCTTCTCAACATCACATAAATTTCTTCTCATTGAACATGAATTTTTTCCTTGAATGCAGGAGGAGCAGAAATGAAAGTCAATAAACAAAATACAAATTTCACACGGTAAAGTGGAGTTTTAAAAAAGTTCTTCAATAAGTCACAGACAAACTTTAAATTTCAGAGGAAACATTGTGGCCCAAAAGTTCAAAAAAAGAAGCATCATGACACACATAATAAAAAAACATCCACTGATTAGGTCTTTTTCCTTGCTTCATAGTATTTACTATAATGTGCTATGTTCCTATTCAACAATGCCACCATGGCCAGGGGGTCTCTGCCATACTTGTTCCTCAGCTCTGTGACTATTTCCAGAGCATTGCCCAGTGACTCATACCTTTGCTTCTTGCGCCACAAGGGTCTGCTCTTTTCCACTTGAAACTCCCAATGGGATGTGAACACATTGTCCAGAACATGGAAGGTGTAGTTTGCCAAGTACAGCTCATAAAACTGCAGGAAAACAAACATCATTGCAATGTCTGAAAAATGCAATTCAAAATAAAAAAAAATTCTAAATAAATAAACAATAGTTCATAGTTATTTAGAAATCAACCTTGGAAGCTGCAACAATTCATACAGACTGTATATTATTAAGATTTGTCAATGCTGTTAAATTTGTCATTAAAAATGAAAGCACTGTATTCTATGTAACATGCAAAGTTGTCAAGAATTTTCATAAAACTCCCGGAAGAGAAAATTATTACACAGTATTTCTTGTTTGAAATACTTTGGAACACATAAATAATCCCAGATTTGTAAAAAATTGAGAACTACTGTATACTGTATTCAATAAATGAGCAAAACATTTTCAGACTTCTGATATTTATTCTAAAATTTTATTCAGTTTTCAGAAATCGCTCCAAAACTTGAAATTTCAATTTTGAACATGTCTGATGAAGAATCTAAATTTAAAAAATTCAGGACCAGAATGTATAGGCTTCCTTGATAAGAAATATTTATCAACCTACTGGTTGTGAGGAATACAAACATACAGCTGCTTTTCAAAATAAGCTTTGGTATCAATTTTCATATATGTGAGTTTAATAAAATAAAATCATTTGACATTTCTGGGTTAATTTGTTGTCCAAAATTATTTTAAGGTTTTCATCACAAGTTTGTCAGCAGAGTTTTATTCTACCTGTATGTGTTCTCATGATTAATTTTTTCTAATAAATGTATAAATGAAGCAGAAGGATCTTGAAAGAGTTTGAACAATTTTTGGTCAAGATGCTTCAAAACCCAAAAAGAATCTGGTGGAGGGTTTCAAAAAGAAATACAATCCTGTTTTCATAATCATTACAAAAAAACCAAATCACTAAGGAAATTTGAAAATTCTGCAGTGAACTTCCAAACTGTTCCACTTATATCATCAGCAGATATATTTTTGATGCTTTTATTTTTATCCAACAGAAGAGAGAGTCTGCAATTTCATTGAATTGAAAATGTCAATAATTAATTCAAAAGTCTCCTTCAGTTTCTTACCCTCCTCCAACCCAGCAAATAATTTTACCATTGCAACCTGTGTTGCAACTCCATTGGCAAGCCGTTTTGACCCAAATGTTGGGCTAACAGTCGTTTAGTCACTGTCAAACAGCTGGGGGAGCAGTCATTCCCAGGGTCATTCTGAAACGCATGCCAGCATGCATTGCCAATGCCCCTAATTCCCAGCATGTGTGCAAACCACCCCCCACCCTGCCCTTTCAATTACCAATTTACAATGCATTCAGAAACCCATTGCACACCCATTCTGAAAACAAGACCAGGTATGCATTGCTCCATATAGAAAAAAAGAAAAATTAAATTCCTATTCAATTCCTGATGTTATCTTCTTTATTTTGCTTTCTTTGCGTTATACTCTTTCCTCTTTCTTGATTACTTCATCTCTGTGTGCTTTCTGTTCACAATATTTGTTGTCAGCTGGTTAAAAGCGTGCTCTAACTTTCCTTCGCCCCTCGCCCCACTCATTAACGTGGACGGCCGCGCATGCGTGCGCAACTGAGTTTCCCTCGTTACCTGTC